TAGCTAAGCTCTGGTTCAAGTGTCTACTTAAATAACTGAACTGCCCTAAGCAACATGGGACCATTGAGACCAATGAAAGAGTCTACAAAATGCTATGAAAATGAATCAGTTCTAGAAGAAATCAGTGTATTCAATGATCAAAGACATATAACTAGGACATTGACAAGTTTTATTGACCAGAAGGAAATTTACACATTTTCATATAGGGGAAAATACTAGGGATGTCATTCTTTATTATATTATATTTTATAAAATATTAATTCAGCTTAATATTGTAGACACAATTATTATATATCAGCATCATTACTATGAATTTAGGATCAGTACTGTTTGTAAGGCAGAGTTTCTATTCAAGGTACCTATAGGTGCGGTAATGTGACAGGAAGAACAGGCAAATTTAGTAAGAGATCATAAGTATTTAGAAAGTATTAACAAGAATAAATTACTCTGCTGTATAAAAAAGGTCATCACAGTTTCATCTCAAATATTAGTTGATATTTTTTAAGTGATTCCAGCTAGAACAGAAAGCTCAAGGTCTCTGGTAAACTAAAAAGAAGGTGGCATACTTGGAGAACCACATGTGATTCACAACAGTTGTCTGAGGACCAGGTGGACAAATGGAAAAAAAAGGAGTTAAGAAGAATTTTAATCAACACAGGTTTCCGGTGCTAGTACCTCAGTATTTAGCACTTTAGAAATGAAAAATTCACAGATGAAGACTAAGTCCAGCCCATCACGTGTTCTTTATTATTGGATGAATGTTATCTTAGACACGCATAGAAACTAGCCACAGATATTCATGCTAGGAATTCTCTTGAAAAATCAGCTATTCATGTTGGATTGGTGTTGCCTGGTACTCAGCTGTTTTTGGAGGAAGGAAAGGTGCTTGCCAGGCTACCCCACTCTTCACTTGCTTCACGTGTTTGTATAACCTGCCAGCCCCTGGAGGTATTTGTGTTTGCAAGCCTCCTGAGGGGGAACCACAAAATTAAATTTGCTGTAATAGCTTAGTCTGGCTGCATAAGGACGAATGTGTTGGAAATATCAGAACTGGAGTCAGGAGCATAATTTAGGAAATTCCTTCAAGAATTGCAACAATTAATGAATGACCAGCAGAGGCTGGGGTGGCTGTGGTGTGATGAAGCAGAAGGTGGGAAGTAAGCTTCTGAAAGGGCCACCATGGTTCTGGTGATATAAAGCAGAACTAGATGGCAGAGTAAGGGAGGACAGTCTAGTTTCCAGGTCAGTCAACTTGAAAACTATCTTACTTTAAAATCTTACAAATTTTACAAAAATAATAATATTTGCTAGACTTGCAAGCAGTTCCTCTGTGTGTGTGTGTGTGTGTGTGTGTGTGTGTATGTGTAAATGCCCACCAAGCACTGGGACAAGGAATAAGAAAAAGTGCAAGGAATATTCAAATCTAAAGACAGATTTGAATCTATTGCTATAGTCCTTCTCCCAAATTCATGCATGGAAACTCAAGATGAGGCCATGTGGGAGAGGTGATTAAATCAGAAGGGCTTCCTTCACAAAAGGTTGGACTGAGATGCTTTAGGCACTTGTCGTTTGCCATTTTTTTCTGAGTTCTGTAAGGATGCAGGATTTACTTCTGCCCTGTGACCAAATGCTGCTCTTTGACCTTGAACTTTCCAGTCTCTATGATTGTGAAAAATAAATTCCATTGCTTAAATTGTCCAGTCTGTTGTATTCTATTATAGCATCATAAATAAATTAAGACACTTATGTAGGAAAGGAGTGAAGGATCTCAGACTAAAGTGCACATCTAAGAAAACATCTGCCAGGATGAGATCACAGGATGAGATAGAAGTTGAATTGTGAAAACAATCTACTGTTTAAGAAGAAATGTACTCACTGCAGTGTTTCCTCTGTGCTGAATCATCTACTGGGACAAACCAAGCTATGTCAAGGATTTTGAGTGTACAAAAACTCACCGCTATCAGCTAACTGTTCTTTGAGTAAGTTCTCTGGAGTGGAGTTCTGATCAAGGCACTCCATATCTGACCCAGGTATCATTAATGAAGTATTTGATTGTTTATGTTGAGAGGAGAAAGTTACGGTTTTGTTTGCTTAGAGATAGATAATAAGATATGGAGGAGCATGAGATGGCTCCTCCACACGCCTTTTACACAATAGAGAACTATTTTACTAGAAAGAAGGATAAATTTGAGTTATTTGTAGGATGTACCCTAAGACCATAGGTTAGATGAAATAAAGCAGACATGCGAGCTTAAATATGACTGGTTTTTCTCATATGAGAAACTCAAAGAATAAATAAATAAAGAGTAAAATAGAAGGTAGATAATAGGAAACAGGAAAATAGATCATTTGCAAAAATAGGAAGGAGATCAAGTGATAGAGGAAGGTGGGAGGGATAGGAAGGGGCGGGGATGGAAAAAGAATTGTTACAAGCACGTAACAATTTCTCATATCCATGTAATCGCTATGTACTGGAAACATGTACTAAAATATTTTCAAAACTGTTTGCTTTAAAATTCTAAATAAAACAACAACAGAAAATCAAAATTTTTTATACTGTCTGTCCCTACATATTATATTGTAAGTAAAATGAGCTGTGGCAGAATTGCTATATACATCCTCCAGACTCTTATTTATATTTAGATGCCATGTCAGAGGATTTGATTCATGTTTTCTTGTAGTGAAGTGCAGCATTGTGATAGAGGTCTAGCTAGTAGAACGAGAGAAGAGATATGGTGTACGTGCAAGCAGACCTCATAAAATCCACTGCCTACTTCATTCTCTCCTTTTTTCTTTCCGGAAGCAAAAGATTTCAAAGCTTTACCCCATCGGAAGTGTGGGCCCCAAATCATTGCAAGCAGGCTGCTTGGCAAACACCTACTTTGCATTGCTCTGTATTAAGTTTTTAAAAATTATTTTAAGTTGTGTATTTGGTTACTTAACTCTAATAGGAACTAGAATGAAACTAAGAGTAGTTCTTCAAGATATGTTGGTATAGGCATCAAGTAGAATTTTGTGGATCTGCACATTCTATAAGACATCTTCACATTTTTACTACTGAATTTGTTTTTTTAGACTTCAGATTCACAACTCCAATACCTATTACTTCATTAACATTTGGCTAATAGCATTACATTAACAAACTCATGTTATAAATCTGATTTCTCTTTATTCTCTATTTCTACTAATGATTCCAAATCTACAAATAGTCAAGAACTATATTTTGCTCTTAGATAAAATGCTGTGATTTCTACTTTTCAAAATGTTCTCAGATAAAATTGGTAAATTCTATTAATTCTGATTTTATGGATCTTCATGTGCTTTCTATTTTTCACATTGTTACAATGATCATAATAGAATAAGTGTCTAGCTTTGCACCTAAAATACCAAATGATAATTAGGCCATCATATAGTGCATACAAACTATAGTTTACCGCAGTCCATTACTGTAAGCTTGTCTCTCACTGTCATTGAAGCATATTATCAATTATAATAACAATAGTATGAAAGAAAGAACTCAGAAGTAAAAGAGTCCATCTTGAAATATCTCTATACAAGTGGCCTATGCTTTAGGATGAAATTGATTGATTCTTGATGTAAAGTACCTCTTATACTAATAATTAATAATTAAACATAACATAACTACAAATGTTTTAGTGTATAACTTATAAGTGGTGATACCAACTTACATGCTTTGAAATTAGTGTTTGATACATGCATATTGAGTGAACAATTATTTTTTTTTACTGTTTTCATTTAATTAAGCACTCTGTTACGGGTTATTCGTTATTCCATTCAATGTGATGGAATGCTATTTATTTTTAAAGACAAATCTGAACTGTTTTGACTTCTCCCTAGGTATTTCCATGTTTTATCATTTCAAATGAGTTGGGTGTATTGTGAGTTAGTTTTTTTTTTTTTTTAATTTTCATGCAAAGCATTTTCTTTCATGAAGTGGATTTCAAAAGAAAGAAGGCCTGTTCTATTTTTTCAATTTTTTATTAGTAATATTTGCAGTACGTAATGATTACATTCATCATGGGGGATATGTATATGTATGTAAAGTGTTTTAATTCTTTTTTGTCCCCTTTTCCTTCTCTCTTACGAATCCTTCCTTTCCTTCACATTTGTAAAACTATTTTTGTATTTTTATTCAATTTTTAAAAATTCATTTTTCCTCCCTCCATGACTTATTCTTCTCATTTCAAAGTGTTTTTCCTACTTCCTGGTATCTTTCCTTTATTTTGCTCTCTAATATATGTCTCAGCAGACTAACTGTTTCTGTTTTAATATTTTGAGCTTTGATCCAGTTATTTTAGTTTAGTTTAGTGCATGATGAGATATACTGGCCCAGGTTCAATCTTCAGCGTGGAACGTCACGTCACACAATCCCATCCACTATCTCAAAGGGCATGTGTAAGAATTTTCCATCGGAGTCACATATTCCCCTATCCCAAGTGATTCAAAAATGTGCTGTAACTAAAGAAGATCCCTTACAGTTTCTATAGGATCAGTTAACAAACTGAATGCTTCACAAGCATCCCAATATAAAATTACATTAGAGCAATATTTTCACCTTGTGAAAAGGTAGGTATTGCAAATTAACTGAGCTAGGAGAAAAACAAGGTAAAAGGAATAAGATTCAGGCTGTGAGACTTAGCCTTGATGACATTAGAACTTCTGGTTCTAGAAGTGCCTGGTATCTCCGTTTGAGATATGGTCACATATTTTTGTGAGGCTAACTTATTTTTGACATGTAATCAAAATAGAATTGCCTAATAAATTAATATTCATTAACTATAAAAATCATAATTATTATTTTTCTATTTTATTAACCATAATATCGGGGCCAAAATAATAGATGACATGACATGAGTCCTTACTAAAGCGGAAAACAGAAAAAAAGCACATTTCTGTGGCTTATTTACATTTCATTAATTTTTGTTTAAATATGCAAAGTTTTTATATTTTAAAAAAAGGCTTCAAAGACCACTTCTGTATTCCAATCTGTAAAAATATTTTCATTATGTTTATTATAAAAATATAAATGTTTCCACTACAAATCATTTTACATTAGTAAGAGGCCATTCACATTGCACAGTATAAACTAAATGAGTGATATTTTGAAAAGACATCTTCATGGTAAAGATATTGCCAATCATATCACATTTATACATGGCTTAACAGATAGTACAGCATAAAATGGGTATGTAACCAGAAATAAATAATATGTATAAATCAAATTTAAGATACAAAACAGGTAATGTGATACATAACGTTGTGAAGGAGTTGTAGTTTCATGGTAACTGAAAGTCACTGCAGTTCATATACAAAGTGATGGCCACAAGCATTCTAGTACCTCTACTCAACAATCAGGAATCGTACACTGTTATGTTTACATATGTACAGGATAAGAATTATGTAAAGTTTTAAGAGATCAAGTAGAAAAATACTGAAAAATGAAGAGCTATATACTGTGTATACAACCTCTACTTTCAAACAAAACCTACAGCCAATATAAGTGCAATGAATTCAATGATCTTCAGTTCTACTAGTTTATGAAATGCACAGATGTTTTTGTGTAGACTCAGAACAATTTCCAAGAAATAAAATGCTAGTATGGGAAAATATGAAACTGAAGCCAGATTCAAATCTCAATCTAATATTCCAAAACACAAAATACTTGATTAGAGGAGTTAGGTTCAGCTGCTTCTAGCAGGACTTAAAAGAAAAGTTTTATTAACTTTTTTAAAAAAGTTCATGCTCTTATATATCCAATATAAAATTCTAGAAGCATGAGTTGATTATAAAGAATATTGCTGAAATTTTGGAAACAGGCTAATATCAACAAAAACATAATCCTATCTTTGTTATATTAAGCCTATAACAGATTGGACCTTGTGAATTTTGATCTATGATTACAAGCTGTATTACTTGTCTCATTTTGCATACAAGGATAAATGTTGCAGCATTGTTTTAACCATTCAATTCCTCTGACATATACATTTCTTATATCCATCACATCATCATATCAGCATTAGGAAGATTATATGTAGGTCTAAAATGTTGCTTCAGAATTATTAGTAGCTAGATCTCTACCAGACACATCCTTTCAAATATCAATGTACATGCTCTTAGTTGGCCTTTATGTAACAGCAAGTCTGAATTCCTGCAGTGACACAATTCTTCACTGCTTACAGATTTTAAGAAATCTACTAAGTGACCATCTATTTCAAAAATATGTCCAATAAATAAAAGAAATTAGAACCTTCCGAGTTATACACCAAAATTACAATACGTGCATTGAAGTGGAAGACTATTAAAGATAATTATGCCTGATATTTATTGCAATATTTAATTAACTGTCCTAAACTCCAGTAATACAGATGAAAACTTTTTAAAGCCAGGAAGTGATTTTTTGACTCATGTATTTGTTATGCTGTCAACCAATGCAACAATCTAAATAGTACTTCAAATATTTCCAGTGTAGTAATTTTCATGAATTCTAGAATGGTTCCTTTACAAATAAAGGGAATTCATGGCCTCTGATCATCAGAGCAGAAAAGTATGTTGTCTGGTTAAAAATCCATTACATACAAGCCAATATATTACACTAACTTAGGAATATAGCTATGATAAATGGAAAGACAAAAGCAAATGGGATAATTCATACTGTAAAAGATTTGGTTACTATATGAACAGGGAAAGTATTTCAGTATTTTAAATACATAGAAGTGAACTGATCAAAAATGTGGAAATTTATCATTCTTCATGTCTAGCAAGACATATTTCCTATTACTGACATTTTGAGAAAGCATTTGGCACTTGGCTGTAACAAATCCAAATGAAATCATCAAGGCATAAATATCAAACAATAGAAAATGATTCAAAAGAAAATAAATATGTACTTTTCTCAAAAATTAAGACACATTTTTACATGATACATTTAAGAAGCCTAACAATTAAGAGAGTGTAGTACTCAAAACAACTACAAACTTCATTTCTATATACTTTAAACAGATAAAAGAGAATAATACAATGATAAGGTAGTAAATATGGCCAGATAGTTTGAGGTATAAATTCCTCTATTTTGCTTGCTTTTAAAGAAACAAAATACCTGTTACAGATTTCGTCTGTGTATAAAAATATCACGTCTTTTCTTTTTGTGGCTATTCATAAACGAAGCCACCGTGTCCGTTCTGTCCTTTCACCATTTTGCTTTTATGGTAGTCAGTTTATGATAAATGGCTCTATACTTGTTCTTCACAATTTTGAACTGAAGAATTTTAATTTAATCCATCAACTAACATTAAAAAAGCAATTACAAAACAAAATTCACCCCCCCCACCCATCCACTAAATAACAGGGGAAAATAGAGAGTTTTTCAATTCCGTGTTAAGGCATTGGTACTCTTGTCTGAGTGTCTTATTCAATTTGAAACTTCCATTTTTATCTCCGTCATCAGCAGCTGCTGGCAGAAGGAGGCCCAGGCTTCCCCAGCAACCACAGTCTTCAGAAGGAGAACTTTATACTGGAACTGGACCGCTCTTGGACTGCGTTTCTAGGGCTTGAATGCTACTGATGATCTTCTGTGGCCCAACCACAGTGACACCAATCTTTTTCATATCACTGAAAAATAAAAGGTAAAATACCTGATCATAATTGTGTCTTTAAGTAGCAAATCTTATGCCATTATATATCTCAATATTTTGGCCTTCATTTTCTGATTTTTGTGTTATCTATGTATTACATTTTGATGATTCTACCTATATATTCTGCAAGGCTACAGTGCATCCTCCGAATTTCTGTGCCCTCAGAAGTTAATGATGTGTATGTATTTGGAAACAGAGGCTTTGCAAATATCTGAAGACAAGAACCGATATGATATTGTCCTGGATTATGGTGGATCCTAATTCAGAATTTCCTGATAAGAGACAGTAAAAGGCACATAATTCCATGGGGAAAACAGCTATAACAAAGTGAAGGCAGATACAGCACAAGGAACTGGAGACAATGGAATTCTGCAGAAACTGGAACAGGTAAGAAATGAATCCCTCAACAGATTGGATTAAACGGTTGGTGGCCAACACTGTGAATTTAGACTTCTGAAGTCTAGAATTTTGAGAGAATAAATTTCTATTTAATTAAACTAATAAATTGTATCAGTTTGCCATGACAACCCATTTCATATTTTATTTACTAACTTAATTAATACAGATGGTCACATAATATTTGTAAAGTTTTATTTATTTTTCTTAAATTAAGAATAGTCTGAGCACTTCTCTGACTATCCTGGATAGAAGTCAAAGTTGTATGAAAATTGTGTTCGAGTCTTAAGAAACTGAAGACTACTGCATTTTGACTTTTGAGACATCCTATGTGGGATAAAGGAGCTGCCATGTAAGTTTGACTACCCTGAGGTTATAGTAAAGGAGAAGTCATTTTGTTTCACACCCTTAATTGAGACTAATAATAGTGTAATATCAAGTATAGTGGTACCTCAGTTCAAGGCCTAAACAGTTTTGGAAAAGATTGCCACTTTGGTTTTTGTGTGAGAACGATGACCATGGTCCTCTTTGTCACCTAATAAAGAATTTTCAAACAAAAACAAATTTTACCAACACTTCTGTTTGCAAATTAAATTGTTTGCAATCAAAAGTGTTCGTGAACTGAAGCACCACTGTATAAGGGCAGGTATTTGAATAAAAGCTTTTCCATATCTCCAGAAGTGATTAGTCTATTTGTCACCAGAATATACTGGTCAACTCCAATAGAGCATAAAGAATTATTTGTTTAGTTCTTTTAAAACTGATAACCCAAAACACGTATACAAAATAAAATTTTTGTTTTAGCATTTAAATTTGTGCAATCTTCACTAGAAAAAACAAAAAAATATTTCAAAATGGAAACAAATAAGAAGGTTCTCTATTTATTACATTTTAAATGATTTAAGCTCATTAATTATACATTAAATAAAAATTATAAAAAAACAAAGTGAAATGAACTTAAGGAATTTAGTAAAAGAAAAGCCAAAGCTAAACATGTACCTATTAAAAATGGTATATATGCTTTCCAATAATTCATGTAATTACCTCTTTAAATTCTTGACTCAGACAGCCTCCTCTAATGAAAACTTCCTTAACTCTCATAAGAAATATTGCAAAATCTCCCTGTACTTGAAACTCAACTTCCTATATTTTCGTCTTGTTCAATTTTCTCTGAAAACTTGATCACCCATATAACATATCATCTTACTTTCTGATTTATTTTCCTTTTGTCTGTCTTGTGTTTCAAAAAGGTGAATTCCATCTGGGCAGAGAATCTGCTTTATTTTGTGCGTTAATAGCACCCTAAGCAATTGCTAGCATTTAGTAGAAGCTTAATTAATATTTACTCATGAAGGAAAAATGTAAAACATGGTTTGTTATTTAAATTATTTTGAAAGTAAGATATTATTTGGCAGGTAAACTCAGGTAAATTGAGAATATCAAGAGGACAAACCACATGTATAAACACATACTCACACATGCACATTCCACATACACACAGAAATGATTATTATATACTAGTGTATATAGAAATATATTAGCTGATCTCTTCAAAAGTGGGTTTGAAAGCAATACATATATACAAACTGACAACAGGTAATCATTTGAGAAACATTTTATGTATGATATAGGCATCAACTACATTAAATTAACTAAAATTGTACTGTAGTCCAGCCAACTGTCTGGGAATGAAGCTCCTGGTGACTTGCAGGTCCCTTCCTTGATGCTATCAGATGGTCCTTGAGTTCTCTAGGCACGGGTTTTCTCTTGCCTGAGCTCCTGACTGTATACACTCGATGGCTGCTTGCACTGCACAGGGAAGGTTAGTGGGGAGGTAATGGTAACATCAGATTTGCCCCTCTCAGAGTATCTGTGCACAGTGAAAGTTCTCATGTAGATAAACATGCTATTTCTGTCAATTTATGCTTTTGAAATGTCTGCTATGGGATTTTGATTTTTCATGTACCATGAAATTATATTTACAATGAGTGGAACTATGTTCCCATTGATTACAAAGCTAAAGCAAGTCATGAATAGAGAACCAGAGAATAGTGGATGTACATAAATATAGGTTTATAAATCAAGAGTCTCAGCTTCTTACTCTTTTGTATTCTGCTTGTATTTTTTTTCTAATTCTATAACATGTTTTTTAGACTCTGAGATTTTTTTGTCTCTTTATCTCCTCGCTCTTACAGAGTTAAAAAAAGAAATGACAGTCACTCAAAGCAGAAAAATATTTCAATGTAGTATGTAAATTTTCTAAGATCCTTGGCAAATTTAAGCATACTAACTCTCCAGAACATGCCGGGATACTTGGCCATTATGTCTCCCAAACAGAGGCATTTTTCCTTCCAGTGACTGTCAAGGAAAAAATCAGATGCTTAAAGTTCAGTCCAATTTGGACTTTCTTCATCACTTCTTTACAGATGTGTGTCTTGAATATACTTCTCAAAAAATCTTCTATATAAACCTGGCTCAAACTGTCCAGAGATACAATGTAACCCAACAATATAAAATTTTATTTATAATACAATAAAATAATCAATTCAGTATAATTAATGCAAAGGATTATATTGTATTCTGGCAAAGATAAATAAATTAGCTCCTTTCATTATAACTTGTTAGGTTTTAATGATCTCTCTAATCTATTTCTGCCAGTGTATCTTTTCTACTCCATTTTGCCAAATCCAAAATCATTGTGAACACCCAGATACTATGGCTTCAATAAGACGTTCTGTGTCTATGTGCACGTGTGTATGTGCCTGTGTCTGTATGCATTCCATTGTGATTATTTTATGCAGAAGACAAAGAATTTCAAGACCAAAGAAGAGCCCAGGATTGATTCCAGAATTAATGTGTTATCTGGAACTGCAAAGGGAAAGATGATGACACTCTGAAGTGGCATCCAGGGGTGCAGGACGGTGGCGTGCAGCCAGAAATTTATCTGCTCCTCATCCACACAGTGCTCCGTCAGAGTTACTCTGCTGTTTGCTATTCTCTCATCTTTTTTATTCAAACTTCCTAAAGCCATACTGGGTTATGAAATAATGTTTTAAAATTATATTTATTGAATAAAATCATATTTTGGGCTTCATTTAAAAATTAGATGATTTTTGTAGCTCATATTTTAAGAAAATTCCTAAATTAACTGAAATTGTTTAAATTTACTCAAGAATAAAATTCTATTGATCTTTTCCTGTGACTTCATAGTCTGAATAGGAAAAACGTCCAGTAAATTCAATAAGCATCTTAAGTATCTATTAAAGGAGAATCTTTAAAGTTAGTCAGTAAATAATTTCTGAATTGAGGTTGAAGGATACAAAACATTTAGCAACTGAGTTCAAATAAGAAGTCCAAGATTGCAAAAGGAAAGATAAAATATCTAGCTAAATATCTCACAGAATTTAAAATGAGAATGTTTCCTGATTGATTTACACAAGTCTTTAGTGTACTAAAGATCATTTTATTAGTCCTCATCTTTAAAACAAGCACGGGATACATGATACTAAGGTGATTAAAGGAAAAAAAGATAATTCCTTTTGAGGGATTTTTAGGGCAATAGTTACTAAACTTACACTGTTTCTGAATTTAAAAGAAAAAGCAGAATAAAGGATATTGTGGGGGTGAAAGAGAGAGATATTGAAGACCACGTGACTCAGTGGGAAGGACAAATGCAAAAGGGTCAAGTCTCTCAGGAAAAGGCAGCCTTCAACTGTAATGTACATTAACCAGTTGTTCAAACAAACACAAGTAATAAAGAAGAAAAATAGTGTTACCAGCCAAAAAGAACATAGTGGGAGTGGAGCAATATGATGTCCAAAATTATATTGTCGACCCAAATATATCACTAATTTGAACCTGTGACAAATGCTGTTATTTCAACTTTTTTAACAAATAATTTTCTTGCCATGTTCACAGCTTGTAACGGCTGACTATATTTAAGTGACAAACTAGCAGTTAATCTTATTAACAGTATTCTGCCTCAACCACTTAAATGCAGTGGCTCATTATCTAAAATCTGAGTACTAACATATGCATAACTTAGCCTTTGAAAATCAGGCCATGGTGTGGAAACGTTCAACCCTGTGCTTTGTTGCTATGCTTCTGTGCGCTAAAGCGGGTATCTTGTATATCACAATCATAACTGTTTATATCACTAAAACAAGAATGTACAAAAATTTTGAATGATGGAATATATATCATGACTCGGTCTAATCAAAATAATTACCATAGAAACTCAAATTATACTGTTGATTGAATCAAAAGTCTATTTAATAAATATTGCCTTCTATTTTTAAAAAAAAATGGCAGTCAGTTAAATATGAGTTTATTTTCCAAGAAAAAAATTCTCTCCAATTGTAATAAACCCTTCATATAGGGCTTCTTGTGGTTCTGTGTTTCTGATTGTAATGTTATGTCATAATTTATGCACTTATTTGTATGTTGAGCACTTGTATCTATAACTAATACATCACACCCTTCTTTTTTGACATTAATCTATTTTATGTAATGACTTTGCTTAAAAGATTGGCAATAAAATTCTTTGTATATTAGTAACACATAAATTTTCAAATATTAATTGGAGAGAATAGGACTTAAAAGGAACTTCAGAAGACAAAAGGGCTTAGTTAATGGAGTAAAGGATGAAAGACAGAGATTCTGTCTCAAAGGGGGACACAGGTTTCTAAGACACCTTGCATGCTGATAAATTTCAGACCACTTTTGGTGAATCTGCCCCACAAAAATCGTTTTTTTAAACTGTCCTCCTTCTTTTTCTCAGGAAATGGCCTCCAGACCCAAGTTAGTCCTCTCTTACCATACTTCTCTTGAAGAGAAATGATAAATAGCTGCTAATAAATGGTTGTAAAGGTGCCAGGCTACAAATGGAACTGAGTCACTTCAGCGAGCTCTACAGGTAGAACAAGCCATTTCAACCCCTGAGTGAAACTGAATTCTAATTTATTTCTTGGAATTGTGAATTAGGTAAGCCGACCCCTTGTTAGTTAAGTGGCAGTATCATTTAAGGTTGAGGAAGTTATTTTTATTAGCTAGGTATGTGGAAAAATAAGAAAAATCACTGCAGAGAAAAAAAAAGAAATAAAATGCAGTCATATTAGAAGGTCAAACAATAATGGCCTTCATTCATAGGTACTATAACCTCTAGTTCTTTTTTTTTTCCCTATTTTAACTACTATACCTTGTGAGTAAGACTCATTTTTATGATTAGATTCATGGGGTTGGATCTAAAACTCTTCTGTATCTCCAGAAGTTTCTCCCTCGAAAGATTCCTGTCAGCAAATGCTGCCCAAGAAATGCTGCACATCCTATTGATTCTCACTGGCTTTTAACGCAATGTGAATTTTTATATGTAATGTAATATGAAACCACAATTTAATACTAATATTCTGATGCATATTCTGTATTTTGTAAATATCAGTCTTTTAAGGAAAACAAAAAGGAATGGCCTTAGATCTACTTCACACAATATTCTTCAGAGCAGACCCTTGATAACAGATAATGACTTAAGATATTTAGTTGTAAAAATTACTTCTAGATTTATCATGCTTCAGTATATATCAAATTGTCCATTCAGTTCTCAATATTCAATGTACACAGTATTCTTTTGTAAAAGTAACATAAAATAAGATACACAGGAATATGCAACAGACACCAAGCTGTATCTGCTTATGTTTCAGAATAGTGGCTTGATTTTGTGGGTCTGTGTAATGGGCTACCTAATACCACAGTATCAGTGAAGAGACCTAAACAGAGTTTCTATTATATGACAGAAAGATATTCCAACATGTATCTATCAAAGGTATGGTTACAAAAATATCCAGAGCTCAGATTAATGATTATGAAGTTTAATATATACTTCAGTAGTATAAGCAATATTTATAATGCATTTATCTAGGGCAGATACGATCAGTAGAACATTCACAATCATTCATTCTTCATAATGAATTTTTTCTTACTCTGTGGAAATCTTGGCTATGGTGTCGCAAGAACTGTATTCCACGCCTGTGAAGATTTCCTTACAGTGTGCTGTCCGGACACCATTAATCCAGTCACCTGTTGTGCGGAAGGTAGTGATGTCAACATTGCTTTGGTCCAGAAGAAGGTTTGATGGCCTGCAAGAAAAAAACATGAGAGAGAGAGAGAGAGAGAGAGAGAGAGAGAGAGAGAGAGAGAGAGAGAGATTTGGAGTCAGCAGAGTTGCTGTATGTCAAAACATGACACCAACATCAGCAGGAACTTCCAGGCTTCATGGGGTGTTCCTGTTTATTTGTGAAACTGATCTTCCATGAAGACTTCATCTGTTCAATCTGGCAGCTTGGAAGAAGACTGCATAATCCTCTTGTTTGAGTTTTCCCCTTCAGTACTCATGACTGCTTTTAAAATCATTAAAATTTTGCCAGTGAATGGGGTAAACATACCCATACATTTTATAATTTAATATGCTACATCATTATTAAAGATGGTGGGAATTTACATGCAGTTACAGCAGACATGACAACTAAATACTTTGCTATTTGGTTTGGTGATGGATTCAGTGTCAAAACTAATCACTTACCACTGGATGTTTGTTGTAGACATTGTAAGTGTTACTGTCTAAATAATATTTTGAATGAAGTCATCTGCACTTATAGCAGGACATAAAGTCAGCCATACTTAATAAAGCAACATAATCACAATACAAAAGCATGAAATTCCTACATTTTTCACAAGACCATATACATATATATATATATATATATATATATATATCTTTAGCAAGACCAAATATATATATAGTCATTATATAATATACATTATATAATATATATACATTGGTCATATAATATACCAAATATATGCTTAAGAAGACCAAATATATATATACAAAATATATATATATATTGCCATTACATAATATATAATATACATTTAAAGGCATAAATATAGATTGTGATTTTGATTTATATTGTACAGTATTAAAATCATTAAGAAGAGGGATTTACAGGATTATTTTAATTGCAAGTCTGTCACAGATCTCTGAACATTTGCAAAATCTGCTGCATCAAAGCAGCAGAAGACATAAAATAAATGGAGGAGACTATGTTTCTATTCTTGAAGAGACTGAATAAAGAGCCTATTAGCAAACTGCCTTAAGTGTGCTTTTTTGTTTTTGGGGTTTTGTTTTGTTTTGCTTTATTTTGTTTTTGTTTTTCTCAGCTTTCAGTGACCTCTTTAATTGTCCTTTGACTCATAAGACTGGATCTAGTCATTAGATGAATCATTTAATATCTCTTCTCTTTCTTTTTTCTTTTCTTTTAAGGAAAAGAATTTGAACCCAAAGTACTTATGAATCCCTTCATTGAAAATTGATGAGAATTTATGTGCCAGGCACTAAGACAAGCATCTTATACATACATATATATATATATATATATATATATATATATATAGTATTTTACCTTTTGCCTAGGCAGTAATGTGATCTTCTTAAAATAGTTATCTTAAAATGCCTAATTTTATCAGCTTTAAAATTAGACCATTAATATTTAAATTGGGAAGAATGTTCATAAGTAAAGAGAAACTGACAGGGGAAAGGGGAAAGAAAGGAATAGAAAAAGGAAAAATACACACACAAGATAGTTAAGACTGTTATACAGCTACTTTCTCTTAGTTCACTGAAAAGAAAGATTTGTGCTAATATTGTCTGGACGTTATTTCATGCCTATACTTGTACTCTGAGTAACTACTATGAAGATAACAATATACAATGTGTCACTTGTTGTTACTTCCTTATTAGCTTGATTTGAAATTGTTTTATTTTTTTTATTTTATTTTTCTCTTTAAAATTACAAAACTAGACTATTATTTTTATAGCCCTAAAATGATTTTTCTAAGTTACACCTATCATTTAAAGTACAAAATCATCATTTAGAACATTTAAATTCAAATTATTTGGTATCAGGAGACACTTTTAAGACCAATGAAAGATATGTATGACATGCATTTATCTTTATTTTAGAAATGAATTTAGCTTCTAGCTACTTAATTCCAATAATATATTAAAAAATAGCACAGAATAATTACAAAATGAGCCATTCAACTGAAATGAACTTGTACAGTATTTTGCCTTTAACTAGCAACCACTGATTCTCATTTAGGATATGTTCTGAAGTTCCCGTGTTAAATAAAATCTCTCTGTGAAGTAAACCCATAAATGTCTCATCTATACCTAAAAAGCACTTTTAATTGGTAAGTTTCTACTACTGGTAGTGGTATTTCTCCAATTCATTCTCTCATATACAAGAAATATGCTACCCATGAAGTTAAGATTCTTATGCTAGGACAACTACATACAGATCCTGTCCTAGTTCTGCCTGCTATCATCAAAGGAGAGGAGAAGTTTTTAAATTAACTATACGTGTAGATACTGGTGGAGCTGCATTTCAATTTTTTGATTACTACTGAGTTTTTAAAACATGGCAAATCTGTGTCTAGGTTCTGCCTTTATTTCCATATTGTGTTGAAAATACAATGCCCAGAACAATGCCCAGGTTGCACATCATCAGAATCATTTGTAGAGTGAAACAGATCAGAAAGTTGAAAATTGTTCAACTGGCTATCTCTTGTACTAAGGCAACTTCAATTCTTTTACATTGGGTGTATTATTGTAATTCTGGAATGAGTAATATATATATATATATATAAACCATAGGATATATATATATCCTATGGTTTAGTTTATCCAATTCTGAGAAATAATATAAAAAACAAAAATTTGTTTTACAAAGTTAATTATTTTCATTTAACAATATCTAGAAAGCTGTAAAATACTTCCATAATTATTTCTTCTTTGAAGTGTTTGTATAAGTAGTTTTCTAAGATTCTTTAAATCATTCATCTATAAAATAATTTAAAAAAATTATTTTCATAATCAAAAATGGCTTACCATTTGTTATTTTCCTAAAATATTAAGGAATTACTGGATATGGAAATCCAACCTGGCTTCCAAGTGTTACATAATATTCTTAGGTTATGTGAGTACAGCTGCCTTGAAAGAAATAGCCTCGGCCAGTATCAAACATCAGACATATAACACTGGATTCATCGGACATCATTGAAACAAAATACAAAGTTAATAGAAATAGTATTAAGTCAGTTATAAGAAAGTTTGCTAATATGCAAAATGAAGTGAGTTCTGGAAATGGGATGGGTAATATACTAAGCTACCTGCATACAAATACGCCCACACACATCCCTCATAATTTCTGTCTACAGTAGCTTAGAACTAGCCTTTGGACTCTCAATCCCATGAATAGTAATACTTTTTTATTTATGGGTTTGTGGGTATGGAGAATCAAACCCCAGGATATTTATTCAGAATATTTATGAAGTGTGCCTAATAGCAAACTGCAGAATGTTTTCTTCTCAATTCAAAATGGTTTGTGTTCTTTGACTCAACACTTTGGCCAGACTCAACAAAAGCTTGGGGAAAATTAGTATAAACAAATTGAAATGGAACAGGACGTGCGGATTAGGGATTAGAATGACCCCAACCGAGTTTTCTTTTTATGACTTGGATCAAAGTACAACCAAGACAAAAAATGACCTAATTTTAATGCCAGTGACCTCAGAATAACCAGCCCTGCAAAGTATCATTTTTCCACTTCCAGGACTTCTCTAGGGATTTCAAATAAAAATTGGTTCCTTTCCTCCTCCGAGAGGACATCTGGAGAGTTTATCAATGGATAGGAATTTGTCTCTCACTGTGAAGAGTCTGTGATGTCTCTTCATGCGCACCAAGGGAATCCGGGCTTTCAGAGCAGCTGCAGGCATAGGGCGTTTTTTCAGACCCTAGCCCCAGACGCTGGGTCTGAAGAGGAAATTTATAGGCCGGGTGATGTGCACCCTGAGCTCACACTTTTACTAGACAAATTAGATAGGTTTCAATCGGTGCAGCTGTAAACGATGTCCTACAGAGTTCCACCTGATCTTTTACAGCTTTTCATAAATCAGTGCCTACTGGCCGCAGACCGCAGTCATTAAAAAGAAATCATGGAAATTACATGTTTGCTCAAGGGAAGTAAAAAATAACGTTCCTCGCTTTCTCTCTCTCCTTGTATTTGAGTTTGTGAATTATTCTTTTATGGGCTTTTGTACTATTGCATTAAAGGCATACACATATATTTTATGCCCATCAACCCCTGTAAATGGTTGCATACAAATTAGAGGCAGGGCCTTGAAAACTAATGTCAATTAACAATGAGAAATCTCCAGAACGCCTGGTGACAATCACTCTGCCTCAATAATGTTTTAGAATTTCTAATCAGTAGAATTGAATAAATAATCTTCGTACAATTTGGGTTCAGGGAATTGCTTCACAAACCAAAATCATGCTTCGTACAATTTGGGTTCAGGGAATTGCTTCACAAACCAAATACATTTCTTGAACAAACAAGTACATGGCAATGAAATTGAAAATTAACAATACATTTGTAGAGTATCCTATAACCCTATAATTATTTTTATTTGTTTTGAACATTGTGAAGCACATTATGTGGCATCTTTTAATTGTCTAGAACATAATATAATCATTCAATAATTTTCATAATTTATCTTTAATTTTTTTTTTTTACTTAAAATGATGCCCTTTCACTATTTCAGGAAAAGAATCTTTTATGTGTCAACTTATTTTTATGTAGATTCATGCTCATTTTGATCACTGCATCTGTGACATTTAAAATTCTGATAAGATTTAGTGTATTTAAAATTTTTTTTTTTTTTTTTTGGTGTTTTTCATTTTTATCGGTACCGGGGATCAAACTCACGACTGCCTGCTTGCAAGGCAGGCGCTTATGCTGCTGAGCTAAATCCCCAGTCCCGTGTGTATTTAATTTTTAATTAGTAACTAAAAATAGTATTCGAATATATAGTGCCCAACAGGAAGTTAATACATAAATGATATATTAAGAAAAGTAAAGCCATTGTGTTTAATTATGTTTAACTCCTAAGGAGAAAAAATTTAGCAGTTACAGCCATCATCTCTGCTTTAATTCTTCCCTGTGGTAAAATTAGTCAGCTTTTAAGATTAAAAAAGGAAAAGAAATATGAAAAAAATCGCCTGGGTATTTGGGAT